AAGCGAAGCTAAGCAAAGCTAAGCGAAGCGAAGCTAAGCAAAGCTAAGCGAAGCGAAGCAAAGAGAAGCAAGGAGAAGCAAAGCGAAGAGAAGCGAAGCTAAGAGAACCAAAGCAAAGCTAAGCGCAGCTATGAGAAGCGAAGCGAAGCTAAGCGAAGCTAAGGGAAGGGAACCAAAGCTAAGGGAAGCGAAGCGAAGCCAAGCGAAGCGAAGAGAAGCGAAGAGAAGCGAATCGAAGCGAAGCGAAGCTAAGTGAAGCAAAGCGAAGCTAAGCAAAGCGAAGCGAAGCGAAGAGAAGCATAGAGAAGCGAAGCGAAGTGAAGCAAAGCTAAGAGAATCAAAGCGAAGCTAAGCGCAGGTATGCGAAGCGAAGCGAAGCTAAGGGAAGCGAACCGAAGCTAAGGGAAGCAAAGCAAAGCTAAGCAAAGCGAAGCGAAGCTAAGCGAAGCATAGTGAAACGAAGCAAAGCTAAGTGAAGCGAAGCGAAGCAAAGCAAAGCGAAGCGAAGCGAAGCGAAGCGAAGCTAAGCGAAGCTAAGAGAAGCGAAGCGAAGCTAAGAGAAGCTAAGCGAAGCTAAGCGAAGCGAAGGGAAGCTAAGGGAAGCAAAGGGAAGGTAAGCAAAGCAAAGCGAAGGTAAGCGAAGCGAACCGAAGGTAAGCGAAGCGAAGCGAAGCTAAGCGAAGCTAACCGCAGCTATGCAAAGCTAAGCGATGTGAAGCAAACAGGAAGCTTAGCGAAGCGAAGCGAAGCTAATCGAAGCGAAGCGAAGCAAAGCTAAGGGAAGCTAAGGGGAGCGAAGCGAAGGGAAGCAAAGCGAAGCGAAGCTAAGCGAAGCTAAGGGAAGAGAAGTGAAGAGAAGTGAAGAGAAGCAAAGAGAAGCGAAGCGAAGCAAAGCTAAGCGAAGCGAAGCAAAGCTAAGCGAAGCAAAGCGAAGCGAGGCTAAGCGAAGCGAAGCGAAGCAAAGGGAAGCAAAGCGAGGCTAAGCGAAGCGAAGCGAAGCTAAGCAAAGCAAATCGAAGAGAAGCGCAAAGAAGCGAAGATATGCAAAGCGAAGCGAAGCTACGCGAAGCAAAGCAAAGCTAAGCAAAGCTAAGCGAAGCGAATCTAAGCAAAGCTACGCGAAGCGAAGCGAAGCTAAGCGAAGCAAAGCGAAGCAAAGCGAAGCAAAGCAAAGCTAAGCGAAGCTAAGCAAAGCGAAGCGAAGAGAAGCGAAGAAAAGCAAAGCGAAGCTATGCGAAGTGAAGCGAAGCTATTAGAAGCGAAGTGAAACGATGCAAAGCTAAGCGAAACAAAGCAAAGCTAAGCGAAGCGAAGCGAAGCTAAGAGAAGCTAAGCGAGGCGAAGCGAAGCGAAGAGAAGCATAGAGAAGCGAAGCAAAGAGAAGCGAAGCTAAGAGAATCAAAGCGAAGCTAAGCGCAGGTATGCGAAGCGAAGCGAAGCTAAGCAAAGCTAAGGGAACCGAAGCAAAGCTAAGGGAAGCGAAGCAAAGAGAAGCGAAGAGAAGCGAAGCGAAGCGAAGCTAAGCGAAGCAAAGCAAAGCTAAGCGAAGCGAAGCGAAGCTAAGAGAAGCTTAGCGAAGCGAAGCGAAGCTAAGCAAAGTGAAGCAAGCCTAAGCGAAGCGAATACGAAGCTAAGCTAAGCTAAGCAAACAAGATCCTAAATTAAAAAACAGGTTGCTGTTTGGTGGGGTACCACTCAAGAACTTGGACATGCGAAAACGCTCGAGATACCCTAACTTCCCACACACCTGGGTTTTGCATCCGAGCACAGGCCAGCATGCTCTTGAGCCCATACACTAACCATGCATGCAAAAAGCAAGAAGTTTGAGCACGCTCAATAGCAAGATAACCAAGTCGAGGTCTCGTAGGAAAATGCTCAAGAACTGGAAAAAGGAACACATACAATACCATTACTTTTTGCACACTTAGGTTTTGGATCTGAGCACAAGCCATGATTATCTTGAGCCCATGCACTAACTGTTCATGCAAAACAAGGGCTTAGAAAATGCTTTGTATCTGAAAAACAAAATGAAAAGTTGAGGTTTTGTTGGGCAATGCTCAAGTGTTTAGTTGTGGGACAAAAGTTGACATACTATAACTTCCCAACCACTTGGATTTTGGATTTGAGCACAAGCCATGATGCTCTTGAGGCCATACACTAGCTATGTATGCAAAGGGAAAGAGTTTTAGTGAACAAGATCCTAAATGAAAAAACAGGTTGTTGTTTGGTGGGGTACCACTCAAGAACTTGGACATGCGAAAACGCTTGAGATACCATAACTTCCCACACACCTGGGTTTTGCATCCGAGCACAGGCCATCATGCTCTTGAGCCCATACACTAAGCATGCATGCAAGAAGCAAGATGTTTGAGCACGCTCAATAGCAAGATAACCAAGTTGAGGTCTCGTAGGAAAATGCCAAAGTACTGGAAAAAGGAACACATACAATACCATAACATTTTGCACACTTAGGTTTTGGATCTGAGCACAAGCCATGATGATCTTGAGCCCATGCACTAGCTGTTTATGCAAAACAAGGGCTTAGAAAATGCTTTGTATCTGAAAAACAAAATGAAAAGTTGAGGTTTTGTTGGGCAATGCTCAAGTGTTTAGTTGTGGGACAATAGTTGACATACTATAACTTCCCAACCACTTGGATTTTGGATCTGAGCACAAGCCATGATGCTCTTGAGGCCATACACTAGCTATGTATGCAAAGGGAAAGAGTTTTAGTGAACAAGATCCTAAATGAAAAAACAGGTTGTTGTTTGGTGGGGTACCACTCAAGAACTTGGACATGCGAAAATGCTCGAGATACCATAACTTCCCACACACCTGGGTTTTGCATCCGAGCACAGGCCAGCATGCTCTTGAGCCCATACACTAAGCATGCATGCAAGAAGCAAGATGTTTGAGCACGCTCAATAGCAAGATAACCAAGTTGAGGTCTCGTAGGAAAATGCTCAAGGACTGGAAAAAGGAACACATACAATACCATTACATTTTGCACACTTAGGTTTTGGATCTGAGCACAAGCCATGATGATCTTGAGCCCATGCACTAACTGTTCATGCAAAACAAGGGCTTAGAAAATTCTTTGTATCTGAAAAACAAAATGAAAAGTTGAGGTTTTGTTGGGCAGTGCTCAAGTGCTTAGTCATGGGACAATAGTTGACATACTAAAACTTCCCAACCACTTGGATTTTGGAGTTGAGCACAAGCCATGATGCTCTTGAGGCCATACACTAGCTATGTATGCAAGGGGAAAGAGTTTTAGTGAACAAGATCCTAAATGAAAAACCAGGTTGTTGTTTGGTGGGGTACCACTCAAGACCTTGGACATGCGAAAACGCTCGAGATACCATAACTTCCCACACACCTGGGTTTTGCATCTGAGCACAGGCCAGCATGCTCTTGAGCCCATACACTAACCATGCATGCAAGAAGCAAGATGTTTGAGCACGCTCAATAGCAAGATAACCAAGTTGAGGTCTCGTAGGAAAATGCTCAGGTACTGGAAAAAGGAACACATACAATACCATTACTTTTTGCACACTGAGGTTTTGGATCTGAGCACAAGCCACGATTATCTTGAGCCCATGCACTAATTGTTCATGCAAAAAAAGGGCTTTGAAATTGCTTTGTATCTGGAGAACTTTCGTCTGGAGCACTTTTGTCTGGAGCACTTTTTGGAGCACTTTCGTCTGGAGAACTTTATCTGGAGCACCTGGTCAAGAGCACATGGTCTGGAGCACTTGGTCTAGAGCACTTCGTTAGGAGCACTTAGTCTGTTGTTCTTTCACCTGGAGCACTTTGTTAGGAGCACTTCATCTGAAGCACTTTGCCTAGAGCACTTTGTTTAGAGCACTTCATCTGGAGCACTTCGTCTGGTGCCTTTTCGTCTGGAGCGCGTTCGTTTGGAGCACTTCGTCTGGAGCACTTTCGACTGGAGCACTTTGTCAGGTGCTATTTCGTCTGGAGCACGTTTGTCTGGAGCACTTTGTCTGGTGAACTTCGTCTGGTACACTTTCGTCTGGTGCACTTCGTCTTGTGCACTTCGTCTGAAGCACTTCGTCTTTGTCTGGAGCGCTTCGTCTGGTGCACTTTTGTCTAGAGCACTTTCGTCTGGAACACTTTCTTCTGGAGCACTTTGTTTGGAGCACTTGGTCTGGAGCACTTCGTCTTGAGCACTTTGTCTGGAGCACTTCATCTAGTGCATGTTCGTTTGGAGCACTTTCATCCGGAGAATTTTCGCTCATAGCACTTTCGTCTGGAGCAGTTCGTCTGGAGCAGTTCGTCTGGAGCACTTCGTCTAGAGTACGTTGACTGGAAAATTTCGTCCAGTGCTTTTTGGTCTGGAGCACGTTCGTTTGGAGCACTTCGTCTGTAGCACTTTGTCTGGTGCACTTTTGTCGAGAGCACTTTCTGTTGTGTGATGTCATCATATGCTATCACATTCTGTCTGCCTCCCATCCCATGTTTTCAACTTGCATGTGTGGTTTGAATGTGCAAGCATTTGTGTGGTGTGTGTTCTGGAGTTTGGGAATGTGTTATGTGTTATTTTGTTTGAGCAGGTATTTGTGATGATAGATCTTGAGAAGATCTTTCCGACGCAACAAGAATCTCTTCAATTGGAGCAACAACGCGAAAGCTATGAAGATTCAAAGTTCATGAGCTTGCGTTACAATTGCGGCGGTTACTAAGTGAAGTTGTGGGGTGACTTTATATGGAGTTGGGACCTTTGGGGTTGGGGAAACTTGTCACTCTACTGTAACAGCTGCAAATAGGTTGGGAACAACCAAGCTAGGTTGGCAAGGGTGGCCAACTTGGATGGATTGGTTGGGAAGGGACAAAGGTCAAAGTTGAGGTTCCTATAGGGAGGGAATCTTTGTGCTTATGGGGTTTCCTTGGTTGGGGACTCTCTTGGGACCTTCCCTCTCATCCCTCTCTTCCTATCCCAACCTTTCTCTTGCTCCTTCTAATTCCTTGTGAGATTCTTGAACTTTGATTGAACCTTTTGAGATTGAGTTAAGTTCTCCTCCTACAGCTTACCCCCTAATGCGTCGAAAGCCATAGCGTCGCGAATACTTCATCAATCAACGTGATTCAAATTGGGAACGGTAGCTGAGATTAAGAGCTACAACATATCCAAGTTTCGCGACATTCCAACGGCTAGTTTTTCGTCGACGTTGTTTCTTGTGAAGACGACTTTTCTGTCCAGAATTTCGGATTTATATTTTGAGTAATTCTAGTTCCTAAGTTCACCTAGACTCCGTCCTTAATCCTAACAAGTGGTATCAGAGCTGTATTAAGGACGTTGAGAGGAGTCTACAGAAGTGTGAAGACCCTTCTAGACCCACCATGGCCTGTGGGTGTGCCTAAGTGGTGTTCTAAAGGTTGGATGTGTCTTCCGCTAAGGGAAACTCTGCCGAAATTTCGTGGACGCCGACACTTGTGAAAATATCGAGGGAGCTGAGTGTGGACAGCAAAGGGGGGCTGAAATTCGTCATTTCTCAAGGAGAAGATGAATGAGAGAGGAGGAGATGCTAATGGAAGAGGAGCTGTAGCTGAGAAGACAAGTGAGCCGCCGCCATCAAAAGTTGAAGCTTTGGATGGCTCCAACTATGAGGAATGGAGCGGACGGATGAGGAGTGCCTTCAAACGCTACAAGCTACTGAAGATTGCTGTTGGGGAAGAGAAGATGCCGGAAGAAGGCGAAGCACGCGAACGGTGGATTGAGAAAAGCGCGGTGCTTTTCGACCTCATCCTTCAATCGGTCAACAAGGAGATGTTCGAGCACATCAAGGATCTTGTGGAAGCGGATGATTCGGGTCCAAGGGCGTGGAAACTACTACGCGATGTGATTCAGCCCAACACTCTCCCGATGGTGATCGTGCTCGAGAAGGAACTTGCTGCCATCTCCATGCGACCAGGGGACGATGTGAAGCCGGTCCTTGACAAGATCAAGGACACCTATGCAAGGATGGCAGCAGCGGGCAGCAGTGTATCTCAGCTGCAGCAGTGCACCAAGATCATCTCGGTGTTGGACAACTCGTGGGATAACCTCATCCCCACCCTCAACTCTCAGCAAGATCAATGGACACCTGAGTGGCTAAGGCAGCAGATTCTGCAGGAGGACTTCCGCAGACGCCATGTGGGAGGCGGTGCTGCCACTAAGACTGCTGAGGGGTATGGAGCTGCAGGGCGCGGCAGAGGAAGAGGGGGTTGGAAAGGCCGAGGCCGTGGGAGAAGCTTTGGCAGAGGTAGAGGCCGAGGTGACTATAATGAGGGGCATGGGAGCTCCAGTGGCAGGGGGAGTACCAGAATGGAGGGCACCTGCTGGTACTGCAAGAAGGTCGGGCATCCTTGGTTCAAGTGCTTCAGCAGGCTGGAGGGATGGTCACCTCCAGGCATGAAGCCGCCAAGTGGTGAACGCGCACAAGGTGGCGCTGTGCAAGGCTCAGGTGCACAAGGTGAAGGTGCACAAGGTAACGCCTATCCTGGGATGTATCTCATGGTTGAGGATGTGCATGGGCATGAGGGTGATGTGGGATCTGTGGGAAAGGTTGTGATGCACCCTCTCACGCACTGGGTGATTGATTCAGGTTGCACCAGTCACATGACCCCACGGGCAGATTTGCTTGATGAGGTAAAACCCCCTGGGAAGATCAAGTATGTGGCAGCAGCGTCAGGTGCTTTGCTCCCTGTCATTGGTGTTGGAAATGCCAAGGTTAAGGGAGCTAATGGGGAGCTTGTGGGGCTTGGGAATGTTCTGCTGGTTGAAGGCTTGTCTGCTAACCTTCTCTCTGTGCGACGACTGCAGAAGAGCAAGGCCGAAGTGACCTTTGGACCAACCAGCTGCCGTGCTAAGCTTGGGAAGAAGGTGCTGTGGAGTCTGGAAGAGGAGACCAGCTGCATCAAGGACCTGTGGCAGCTGCCCATCATCCCATGGAATGGGAAGACTCCAACAGCAGCAACGGCAGCAGCGGCAAAGGCAACAGCAGGAGGAGATGCAACTGCACCAACTGATGGGGTCCTGGAAGCAGTCAAGAAAGTGCAGCAGCAGCAGACACATGGTGAGGTGCTTGCTGGTGTGGATGCGAGTGCGGCATGGGCTAAGGCTTCATCAAGGAGTGGAGAGGCCGATTGGGAGACATGGCATGAGAGGCTGTGTCATGTGAACTTCCCTATGCTGCAGAAGTTGGTGAAGGATGGGAGCCTGAAGGGCTTGGAGGTGAAAGGGGGAGTGAAGGAGATTGGGAGCTGCCCTACATGCTTGGAGACCAAGTTCTCCAAGTTCCCCTTCAACAGCACTACAGGACCAGCCAAGACCCCACTTGCACTTGTGCACATGGATGTGGTGGGGCCCACAAGAGCCCCTTCCCTCTCAGGCAGCCGCTATTTCTTGACAATTGTGGATGACCACACTCGGGCAGTGTGGGTTTACCCTTTGAAGAGCAAGGGGGAGGTGGCAGCGGCTGTCCTTAAGGAGTGGATGCCTAGAGCTCAGAGGGAATGCGGATACAAGGTGAAGGTGATCCGCAGTGACAATGGTGGGGAGTTCATTGGAGCTGATTTTGAGGGGGAGTTGAAGAGGAAGGGGATCCAGCATCAACTGACAGTGCCCTACAACCCGCAGCAGAATGGCGTGGCTGAGAGGTTCAACAGGACCCTGCAGGAGGGGGCACGCACTCTCCTTGGGCGTGCAGGGCTGCCTGATCCGTTTTGGGTGTCTGCACTGAGGCAGGTCGCCCTTGTGAAGAACAGGGTGCTGGCTACAGTTGGAGATAAGGAGTGGATCCCATATGTCAAGTGGTATGGGAGTGCTCCAACTGTGAACATGCTGAGGGCATTTGGGTGCATGGTGGTGTTTCATGTGCCTAAGGAGAAAAGGGGGAAGTTGGAGGCTTCTGGAAGATGGGGTGTGCACTTGGGGATTGCAAAGGATCACAAGGGGTGGCTGCTATGGGACTTGACCACCCAGAAGTTGACACTGTCAAGGGATGTGAAGTTTCTTGAGTCCCTGTACTACAAGGAATGGAAGCAGCAGCAACAGAAGCTTCCATCTACACCGCTCATTGTGGAGGCAGATGAGGTGCAGCAGCCTTCAAGACAGGTGGAGGTTGCAGTGTCAGAGGAGGAGATGTCTGGGGTGACTGAGGAAGGGGGAGCAGCTGAAGTAGAGCAGCAGCAGCAGCAGCAGCATGAGTCTCCATCTCGAGTTCCACACCCGCCTGAGCGACCTAGGAGGGATGTGCGCCCTCCGGTGAGGCTGACCTATGGGGGAAGAGGCAAGCCAAATGTGGTGCAGGCTGGGAGTGTGGTTGAGCAGATTGAGGAAGATGAGATCGCTCACTGCTACTGGGCACCAATCCCTGAGCCCAAGACTCGAGAGGAGGCCTTGAATGGACCAAATGGGGAGAAGTGGAAGGCGAGTGAGGATGAGGAGTTCGGGTCCCTGATTGAAACGAGACATGGGACCTGTGTGACTTGCCTCCTGGAAAGAAGGCAATCACTTCCAAGATGATCTACAGGCACAAGTATGGACCTGAAGGGGAGCTGACCCGCTACAAGTCTAGGCTTGTGGCACGGGGGTTTCAGCAGACAAGGGGAAGGACTATGATGAGGTGTTTGCTCCTGTGGGAAAGGAACAACACTGAGGGTGCTGTTAGCGATAGCTGCACTCCTGGATGGAAGATACGGCAGATGGACATTGTGACAATGAGTCCGCTGTGAAGCTCGCCAAGAATGCTTGTCTGCATGGGCTGACAAAACACATAAGGCCTAAGTGGCATTGGGTGAGGAGACTCCTTGATAAGGAGGTGCGGCTGGAGATAGTGAAGACCCATCAGCAGGCAGCAGATATTTTCACCAAGCGTCTGGCGGAGGCGGATCATTGGAAGGGCATGAAGCTTGCTGGGATGAGTGTGCATTGAGTATGCATGCTTGAGATGTGGTATGGTGGATGATGGTTGGCAGCCAGAGGGGGAGAGTGTTGTGTGATGTCATCATATGCTATCACATTCTGTCTGCCTCCCATCCCATGTTTTCAACTTGCATGTGTGGTTTGAATGTGCAAGCATTTGTGTGGTGTGTGTTCTGGAGTTTGGGAATGTGTTATGTGTTATTTTGTTTGAGCAGGTATTTGTGATGATAGATCTTGAGAAGATCTTTCCGACGCAACAAGAATCTCTTCAATTGGAGCAACAACGCGAAAGCTATGAAGATTCAAAGTTCATGAGCTTGCGTTACAATTGCGGCGGTTACTAAGTGAAGTTGTGGGGTGACTTTATATGGAGTTGGGACCTTTGGGGTTGGGGAAACTTGTCACTCTACTGTAACAGCTGCAAATAGGTTGGGAACAACCAAGCTAGGTTGGCAAGGGTGGCCAACTTGGATGGATTGGTTGGGAAGGGACAAAGGTCAAAGTTGAGGTTCCTATAGGGAGGGAATCTTTGTGCTTATGGGGTTTCCTTGGTTGGGGACTCTCTTGGGACCTTCCCTCTCATCCCTCTCTTCCTATCCCAACCTTTCTCTTGCTCCTTCTAATTCCTTGTGAGATTCTTGAACTTTGATTGAACCTTTTGAGATTGAGTTAAGTTCTCCTCCTACAGCTTACCCCCTAGTGCGTCGAAAGCCATAGCGTCGCGAATACTTCATCAATCAACGTGATTCAAATTGGGAACGGTAGCTGAGATTAAGAGCTACAACATATCCAAGTTTCGCGACATTCCAACGGCTAGTTTTTGTCGACGTCGTTTCTTGTGAAGACGACTTTTCTGTCCAGAATTTCGGATTTATATTTTGAGTAATTCTAGCTCCTAAGTTCACCTAGACTCCGTCCTTAATCCTAACAAGTGGTATCAGAGCGTATTAAGGACATTGAGAGGAGTCTACAGAAGTGTGAAGACCCTTCTAGACCCACCATGGCCTGTGGGTGTGCCTAAGTGGTGTTCTAAAGGTTGGATGTGTCTTCCGCTAAGGGAAACTCTGCCGAAATTTCGTGGACGCCGACACTTGTGAAAATATCGAGGGAGCTGAGTGTGGACAGCAAAGGGGAGCTGAAATTCGTCATTTCTCAAGGAGAAGATGAATGAGAGAGGAGGAGATGCTAATGGAAGAGGAGCTGTAGCTGAGAAGACAAGTGAGCCGCCGCCATCAAAAGTTGAAGCTTTGGATGGCTCCAACTATGAGGAATGGAGCGGACGGATGAGGAGTGCCTTCAAACGCTACAAGCTACTGAAGATTGCTGTTGGGGAAGAGAAGATGCCGGAAGAAGGCGAAGCACGTGAACGGTGGATTGAGAAAAGCGCGGTGCTTTTCGACCTCATCCTTCAATCGGTCAACAAGGAGATGTTCGAGCACATCAAGGATCTTGTGGAAGCGGATGATTCGGGTCCAAGGGCGTGGAAACTACTACGCGATGTGATTCAGCCCAACACTCTCCCGATGGTGATCGTGCTCGAGAAGGAACTTGCTGCCATCTCCATGCGACCAGGGGACGATGTGAAGCCGGTCCTTGACAAGATCAAGGACACCTATGCAAGGATGGCAGCAGCGGGCAGCAGTGTATCTCAGCTGCAGCAGTGCACCAAGATCATCTCGGTGTTGGACAACTCTTGGGACAACCTCATCCCCACCCTCAACTCTCAGCAAGATCAATGGACACCTGAGTGGCTAAGGCAGCAGATTCTGCAGGAGGACTTCCGCAGACGCCATGTGGGAGGCGGTGCTGCCACTAAGACTGCTGAGGGGTATGGAGCTGCAGGGCGCGGCAAAGGAAGAGGGGGTTGGAAAGGCCGAGGCCGTGGGAGGAGCTTTGGCAGAGGTAGAGGCCGAGGTGACTATAATGAGGGGCATGGGAGCTCTAGTGGCAGGGGGAGTACCAGAATGGAGGGCACGTGCTGGTACTGCAAGAAGGTTGGGCATCCTTGGTTCAAGTGCTTCAGCAGGCTGGAGGGATGGGCACCTCCAGGCATGAAGCCGCCCAGTGGTGAACGCGCACAAGGTGGCGCTGTGCAAGGCTCAGGTGCACAAGGTGAAGGTGCACAAGGTAATGCCTATCCTGGTTTGTTTCTTATGGTTGAGGATGTGCATGGGCATGAGGGTGATGTGGGATCTGTGGGAAAGGTTGTGATGCACCCTCTCACGCACTGGGTGATTGATTCGGGTTGCACCAGTCACATGACTCCACGGGCAGATTTGCTTGATGAGGTAAAACCCCCTGGGAAGATTAAGTATGTGGCAGCAGCGTCAGGTGCTTTGCTCCCCGTGATTGGTGTTGGGAATGCCAAGGTTAAGGGAGCTAATGGGGAGCTTGTGGGGCTTGGGAATGTTCTGCTGGTTAAAGGCTTGTCTGCTAACCTTCTCTCTGTGCGGCGACTGCAGAAGAGTAAGGCCGAAGTGACCTTTGGACCAACCAGCTGCCGTGCTAAGCTTGGGAAGAAGGTGCTGTGGAGTCTGGAAGAGGAGACCAGCTGCATCAAGGACCTGTGGCAGCTGCCCATCATCCCTTGGAATGGGAAGACTCCAACAGCAGCAACGGCAGCAGTGGCAAAGGCAACAGCAGGAGGAGATGCAACTGCACCAACTGATGGGGTCCTGGAAGCAGTCAAGAAAGTGCAGAAGCAGCAGACACATGGTGAGGTGCTTGCTGGTGTGGATGCGAGTGCGGCATGGGCTAAGGCTTCATCAAGGAGTGGAGAGGCCGATTGGGAGACATGGCATGAGAGGCTGTGTCATGTGAACTTCCCTATGCTGCAGAAGTTGGTGAAGGATGGGAGCCTGAAGGGCTTGGAGGTGAAAGGGGGAGTGAAGGAGATTGGGAGCTGCCCTACATGCTTGGAGACCAAGTTCTCCAAGTTCCCCTTCAACAGCAACAGGACCAGCCAAGACCCCACTTGCACTTGTGCACATGGATGTGGTGGGGCCCACAAGAGCCCCTTCCCTCTCAGGCAGCCGCTATTTCTTGACAATTGTGGATGACCACACTCGGGCAGTGTGGGTTTACCCTTTGAAGAGCAAGGGGGAGGTGGCAGCGGCTGTCCTTAAGGAGTGGATGCCTAGAGCTCAGAGGGAATGCGGACACAAGGTGAAGGTGATCCGTAGTGACAATGGTGGGGAGTTCATTGGAGCTGATTTTGAGGGGGAGTTGAAGAGGAAGGGGATCCAGCATCAACTGACAGTGCCCTACAACCCGCAGCAGAATGGCGTGGCTGAGAGGTTCAACAGGACCCTGCAGGAGGGGGCACGCACTCTCCTTGGGCGTGCAGGGCTGCCTGATCCGTTTTGGGTGTCTGCACTGAGGCAGGTCGCCCTTGTGAAGAACAGGGTGCTGGCTACAGTTGGAGATAAGGAGTGGATCCCATAGTCAAGTGGTATGGGAGTGCTCCAGCTGTGAACATGCTGAGGGCATTTGGGTGCATGGTGGTGTTTCATGTGCCAAGGAGAAAAGGGGGAAGTTGGAGGCTTCTGGAAGATGGGGTGTGCACTTGGGGATTGCAAAGGATCACAAGGGGTGGCTGCTATGGGACTTGACCACCCAGAAGCTGACAGTGTCAAGGGATGTGAAGTTTCTTGAGTCCCTGTACTACAAGGAATGGAAGCAGCAGCAACAGAAGCTTCCATCTACACCGCTCATTGTGGAGGCAGATGAGGTGCAGCAGCCTTCAAGACAGGTGGAGGTTGCAGTGTCAGAGGAGGAGATGTCTGGGGTGACTGAGGAAGGGGGAGCAGCTGAAGTAGAGCAGCAGCAGCAGCAGCAGCATGAGTCTCCACCTCGAGTTCCACACCCGCCTGAGCGTCCTAGGAGGGATGTGCGCCCTCCAGTGAGGCTGACCTATGGGGGAAGAGGCAAGCCGAATGTGGTGCAGGCTGGGAGTGTGGTTGAGCAGATTGAGGAAGATGAGATCGCTCACTGCTACTGGGCACCAATCCCTGAGCCCAAGACTCGAGAGGAGGCCTTGAATGGACCAAATGGGGAGAAGTGGAAGGCGAGTGAGGATGAGGAGTTCGGGTCCCTAATTGAGAACGAGACATGGGACCTGTGTGACTTGCCTCCTGGAAAGAAGGCAATCACTTCCAAGATGATCTACAGGCACAAGTATGGACCTGAAGGGGAGCTGACCCGCTACAAGTCTAGGCTTGTGGCACGGGGGTTTCAGCAGACAAAGGGAAGGACTATGATGAGGTGTTTGCTCCTGTGGGGAAAGGAACAACACTGAGGGTGCTGTTGGCGATAGCTGCACTCCTGGGATGGAAGATTCGGCAGATGGACATTGTGACTGCCTTTCTGAATGGGATCATTCTGGAGGAGGTGTACATGAAGCAGCCAGAGGGGCTGGATGATGGGAGCGGCAGGGTCTGCAGGCTGAAGAAGGCCATCTATGGCCTTAAGCAGGCGCCTCGTGCATGGTATCACAAGTTGGAGGAGGCGCTGTTGGCTGGGGGTTTCAAGAAGAGTGAGTGTGACCCCAGCCTGTTCCTGCTGCAGGAGAAGGATGAAATCCTCATGCTCTTGGTGTATGTGGATGATATCCTTCTCTTTTCTGCATCAACTGCTTTGCTGGACAGCGCAGAGCAGATGCTGGAGATGCAGTTCAAGTGCTCCAAGATGGGTGAGGTGAAGTACTACTTGGGGATGCACGTGGAGAGAGATGTGGAAAAGGGTGTGCTGAGGTTGCACCAGAGGAAGTACTGTGAGGGGCTGGCTGAGAAGTATGGGCTGCAAGATGGGGGAAAGCCAGCAACACCACTACCTTCAGGGTTTACTGTGGAGCCATGTGCTGATGAGGAGGTAGTGGGTGATAGTGACAGGAAGCTGTTTCATTCGATGGTTGGGTCGCTGAATTATGCTGCAAATCATACACGGCCTGACATTGCATTTGCTACATCACGATTGGCTAGTGTGGTCTCACGCCCTAGTCATGAGCAGCTGGAAGCGGCCAAGAGGTTGGTCCGCTATGTGAGCGCTACGGCATCAGTGGGATTGGAGTACAGTGGAGTGAGGCAGCGGTTGCAGAGAGGTGCTGCAGATGTGAAGAGTGGAGAGATGCTCTTGAGTTGCTATACTGACGCTAGCTTCAACTCAGTGAAAGCGGATGGCACCAGCATTGGGGGTTATGTGTGCTTGCTAGGAGGTGGTGCTGTGAGCTGGCGCAGCAAGAAGCAGAATGAGGTGGGATTGTCCTCATGTGAGACTGAGTACATGGCCTTACACCATGGGGCCAAGGAAGTAGTGTGGCTAAGGCGTTTGTTGGAGGAGTTGGGAGTTGGTCAGGAGAAGCCGACAGTTGTGTTTTGTGACAATGAGTCCGCTGTGAAGCTCGCCAAGAATGCTTGTCTGCATGGGCTGACAAAACACATAAGGCCTAAGTGGCATTGGGTGAGGAGACTCCTTGATAAGGAGGTGCGGCTGGAGATAGTGAAGACCCATCAGCAGGCAGCAGATATTTTCACCAAGCGTCTGGCGGAGGCGGATCATTGGAAGGGCATGAAGCTTGCTGGGATGAGTGTGCATTGAGTATGCATGCTTGAGATGTTGGTATGGTGGATGATGGTTGGCAGCCAGAGGGGGAGATTGTTGTGTGATGTCATCATATGCTATCACATTCTGTCTGCCTCCCATCCCATATTTTTTCAACTTGCATGTGTGGTTTGAACGTGTGCAAGAATTTGTGTGTGATGTGTTCTGGAGTTTGGGAATGTGTTTTGTGTTATTTTGTTTGAGCAGGTTTTTTGTGATGATAGATCTTGAGAAGATCTTTCCGACGCAACGAGAATCCCTTCAATCGGAGCAAGAACGCGAAAGCTATGAAGATTCAAAGTTCATGAGCTTGCGTTACAATTGCGGCGGTTACAAAGTGAAGTTGTGGGGTGACTCTATATGGAGTTGGGACCTTTGGGGTTTGGGAAATTTGTCACTCACTGTAACAGCTGCAAATTGGTTGGGAACAACCAAGCTAGGTTGGCAAGGGTGGCCAACTTGGATGGATTGGTTGGGAAGGGACAAATGTCAAAGTTGGGGTTCCTATAGGGAGGGAATCTTTGTGCTTATGGGGTTTCCTTGGTTGGGGACTCTCTTGGGACCTTCCCTCTCATCCCTCTCTTCCTATCCCAACCTTTCTCTTGCTCCTTCTAATTCCTTGTGAGATTCTTGAACTTTGATTGAACTCTTGAGATTGAGTTAAGTTCTCCTCCTACAGCTTACCCCCTAGTGCGTCGAAAGCCATAGCGTCGCGAATACTTCATCAATCAACGTGATTCAAATTGGGAACGGTAGCTGAGATCAAGAGCTACAACATATCCAAGTTTCGCGACATTCCAACGGCTAGTTTTTGTCGACGTCGTTTCTTGTGAAGACGACTTTTCTGTCCAGAATTTCGGATTTATATTTTGAGTAATTCTAGCTCCTAAGTTCACCTAGACTCCGTCCTTAATCCTAACAAAGCTAAGCGAAGCGAAGCTAAGCGAAAGCGAAGCGAAGCTAAGCGAAGTGAAGCGAAGCGAAGCGAAGCTAAGCAAAGCGAAGCAAAGCTAAGCGAAGCTAAGCGAAGCTAAGCGAAGCGAAGCGAAGAGAAGCGAAGAGAGGCAAAGCGAAGCTAAACGAAGCGTAGCTAAGCGAAGCTAAGAGAAGCAAAGCGAAGAGAAGCGGAGCGAAGCTAAGCAAAGCGAAGCGAAGCGAAGCTAAGCGAAGCGAAGCGAAGCGAAGCTAAGCGAAGCGAAGCTAAGCGAAGCGAAGCGAAGAGAAGCGAAGAGAGGCAAAGCGAAGCTAAACGAAGCGTAGCTAAACGAAGCTAAGAGAAGCGAAGCGAGGCGAAGCTAAGCGAAGCGAAGCTAAGCGAGGCGAAGCAAAGAGAAGCGAAGAAAGGCAAAGCGAAGCTAAGCGAAGCAAAGCTAAGCGAAGCTAAGAGAAGGGAAGCGAAGCTAAGCGAAGTGAAGCGAAGCGAAGCTAAGCGAAGCGAAGCAAAGCGAAGCTAAGTGAAGCTTTGCGAAGCTAAGTGAAGCGAAGCGAAGAGAAGCGAAGAAGAAGCGAAGCGAAGCTAAGCGAAGCTAAGAGAAACGAGGCGAAGCTAAGCGAAGCAAGGCGAAGCTAAGCGAAGCTAAGGGAAGCGAAGCAAAGCGAAGAGAAGCGAAGAGAAGCGAACCAAAGCTAAGCGCAGCTATGCAAAGTGAAGCAAAGCAAAGGGAAGCGAAGCAAAGCGAAGCTAAGCGAAGCGAAGCGAAGCGAAGCGAAGCTAAGCGAAGCGAAGCAAAGCGAAGAGAAGCGAAGCGAAGCGAAGCGAAGCAAAGTGAAGAGAAGCGAAGCGAAGAGAAGCATAGAGAAGCGAAGCGAAGAGAAGCGAAGCTAAGAGAATCAAAGCGAAGCTAAGCGCAAGTATGCGAAGCAAATCGAAAGCTAAGCGAAGCTAAGCAAAGCGAAGTGAAGCTAAGCGAAGCATAGTGAAACGAAGCAAAGCTAAGCGAAGCGAAGCAAAGCAAGCGAAGCGAAGCGAAGCTAAGAGAAGCGAAGCGAAGCTAAGAGAAGCTAAGCAAAGCTAGGCGAAGCTAGGCGAAGCGAAGCAAAGAGAAGCAAAGAGAAGCGAAGCAAAGCTAAGCGAAGCAAAGCAAAGCTAAGCGAAGCAAAGCGAAGCTTAGCAAAGCTAAGAGAAGCAAAGCGAAGCAAGGCGAAGCTAAGCGAAGCTAAGGGAAGCGAAGCGAAGAAAAGAGAAGCGAAGCAAAGCTAAGCGAAGTGAAGCAAAGCAAAGCTAAGCGAAGCTAAGCAAAGCGAAGCTAAGCGAAGCGAAGCAAAGAGAAGCTAAGCGAAGCTAAGCGAAGCGAAGCTAAGCGAAGCGAAGCTAATCGAAGCTAAGCAAAGATAGGCGAAGCTAGGCGAAGCGAAGCTAAGAGAAGCAAAGAGAAGCGAAGCAAAGCTAAGCGAAGCAAAGCGAAGCTTAGCGAAGCTAAGAGAAGCAAAGCGAAGCAAGGCGAAGCAAAGGGAAGCGAAGCGAAGAGAAGAGAAGCGAAGCAAAGCTAAGCGAAGTAAAGCAAAGCGAAGCCAAGCGAAGCTAAGCGAAGCGAAGCGAAGCTAAGCGAAGCGAAGCTAAGCGAAGCTAAGGGAAGTGAACCAAAGCTAAGGGAAGCGAAGCGAAGCGAAGCGAAGCGAAGCGATGCAAAGCTAAGCGAGGCCAAGCGAAGTAAAGCGAAGCGAAGAAAGCGAAGAGAAGCGAAGCGAAGCTAAGTGAAGCGAAGCGAAGCGAATAGAAGCATAGAGAAGCGAAGCAAAGAGAAGCGAAGCTAAGAGAATCAACGCGATGCTAAGCGCAGGTATGCGAAGCAAAGCGTAGCTAAGAGAAGCGAGGCTAAGGGAAGAGAACCAAAGCTAAGGGCAGCAAAGTGAAGCGGAGCGAAGCGAAGCGAAGAAAAGCGAAGCTAAGCGAAGCTAAGAGAAGCGAAGCGAAGCTAAGAGAAGCTAAGCGAAGCTAAGCGAAGCTAAGCGAAGCGAAGCGAAACTAAGCGAAGCGAAGTGAAGGTAAGCGAAGCGAAGGGAAGGGTAAGCGAAGCTAAGCGAAGCGAAGCGAAGCTAAGCGAAGCGAGGCTAAGCGAAGCGAACAAGAAGCAAAGCGAAGCGAAGCAAACAGGAAGCTAAGCGAAGCTAATCGAAGCAAAGCGACGCGAAGCGAAGCGAAGCAAAGCTAAGGGAAGCTAAGGGAAGCGAAGCGAAGTGAAGCTAAGCGAAGCGAAGCTAAGGGAAGCAAAGCGGAGCGAAGCTAAGCGAAGCTAAGGGAAGTGAAGAGAAGCGAAGAAAAGCGAAGAGAAGCGAAGCAAAGCTAAGCGATGCTAAGCGAAGTGAAGCGAAGCTAAGGGAAGCGAAGCAAAGCAAAGCTAAGCGAAGCGAAGCTAAGCGAAGCAAAGCGAAGCTTAGCGAAGCTAGGCAAAGCAAAGCAAAGAGAAGCAAAGAGAAGCGAAGCGAAGCAAAAGCGAAGCTAAGCGAAGCAAAGAGAAATAAAGCGAAGCAAGGCGAAGCTAAGCGAAGCTAAGGGAAGCGAAGCGAAGCGAAGAGAAGCGAAGCGCAGCGAAGCTAAGCGAAGTGAAGTAAAGCGAAGCTAAGCGAAGCGAAGCTAAGCGAAGCTAAGCGAAGCGAAGCAAAGAGAAGCAAGGAGAAGCAAAGCGAAGAGAAGCGAAGCTAAGAGAACCAAAGCAAAGCTAAGCGCAGCTATGAGAAGCGAAGCGAAGCTAAGCGAAGCTAAGGGAAGTGAACCCAAGCTAAGGGAAGCGAAGCGAAGCCAAGCGAAGCGAAGGAGAAGCGAAAAGAAGCATAGAGAAGCGAAGCGAAGTGAAGCAAAGCTAAGAGAATCAAAGCGAAGCTAAGCGCAGGTATGCGAAGCGAAGCGAAGCTAAGGGAAGCGAACCGAAGCTAAGGGAAGCAAAGCAAAGCTAAGCAAAGCGAAGCGAAGCTAAGCGAAGCATAGTGAAACGAAGCAAAGCTAAGTGAAGCGAAGCGAAGCAAAGCAAAGCGAAGCGAAGCGAAGCGAAGCGAAGCGAAGCTAAGCGAAGCTAAGAGAAGCGCAGCGAAGCTAAGAGAAGCTAAGCGAATCTAAGCGAAGCTAAGCGAAGCGAAGGGAAGCTAAGGGAAGCAAAGGGAAGGTAAGCAAAGCAAAGCGAAGGTAAGCGAAGCGAACCGAAGGTAAGCGAAGCGAAGCGAAGCTAAGCGAAGCTAACCGCAGCTATGCAAAGCTAAGCGAAGCTAAGCGATGTGAAGCAAACAGGAAGCTTAGCGAAGCGAAGCGAAGCTAATCGAAGCGAAGCGAAGCAAAGCTAAGGGAAGCTAAGGGGAGCGAAGCAAAGCGAAGCTAAGGGAAGCAAAGCGAAGCGAAGCTAAGCGAAGCTAAGGGAAGAGAAGTGAAGAGAAGTGAAGAGAAGCGAAGAGAAGCGAAGCGAAGCAAAGCTAAGCGAAGCGAAGCAAAGCTAAGCGAAGCAAAGCGAAGCGAGGCTAAGCGAAGCGAAGCGAAGCAAAGGGAAGCAAAGCGAGGCTAAGCGAAGCGAAGCGAAGCGAAGCGATGCTAAGCAAAGCAAAGCGAAGAGAAGCGCAAAGAAGCGAAGATATGCGAAGCGAAGCGAAGCTACGCGAAGCAAAGCAAAGCTAAGCGAAGCTAAGCGAAGCGAATCTAAGCAAAGCTACGCGAAGCGAAGCGAAGCTAAGCGAAGCAAAGCGAAGCGAAGCGAAGCAAAGCGAAGCAAAGTGAAGCAAAGCGAAGCGAAGCGAAGCTAAGCGAAGCTAAGCAAAGCGAAGCGAAGAGAAGCGAAGAAAAGCAAAGTGAAAGCTATGCGAAGTGAAGCGAAGCTATTAGAAGCGAAGTGAAACGAAGCAAAGCTAAGCGAAGCAAAGCAAAGCTAAGCGAAGCGAAGCGAAGCTAAGAGAAGCTAAGCGAGGCGAAGCGAAGCGAAGAGAAGCATAGAGAAGCGAAGCAAAGAGAAGCGAAGCTAAGAGAATCAAAGCGAAGCTAAGCGCAGGTATGCGAAGCGAAGCGAAGCTAAGCAAAGCTAAGGGAACCGAAGCAAAGCTAAGGGAAGTGAAGCAAAGAGAAGCGAAGAGAAGCGAAGCGAAGCGAAGCTAAGCGAAGCAAAGCAAAGCTAAGCGAAGCGAAGCGAAGCTAAGAGAAGCTTAGCGAAGCGAAGCGAAGCTAAGCAAAGTGAAGCAAGCCTAAGCGAAGCGAACACGAAGCTAAGCTAAGCTAAGGGAACAAGATCCTAAATGAAAAAACAGGTTGTTGTTTGGTGGGGTACCACTCAAGAACTTGGACATGCGAAAACGCTCGAGATACCATAACTTCCCACACACCTGGGTTTTGCATCCGAGCACAGGCCAGCATGCTCTTGAGCCCATACACTAACCATGCATGCAAAAAGCAAGATGTTTGAGCACGCTCAATAGCAAGATAACCAAGTTGAGGTCTCGTAGGAAAATGCTCAAGAACTGGAAAAAGGAACACATACAATACCATTACTTTTTGCACACTTAGGTTTTGGATCTGAGCACAAGCCATGATTATCTTGAGCCCATGCACTAACTGTTCATGCAAAACAAGGGCTTAGAAAATGCTTTGTATCTGAAAAACAAAATGAAAAGTTGAGGTTTTGTTGGGCAATGCTCAAGTGTTTAGTTGTGGGACAAAAGTTGACATACTATAACTTCCCAACCACTTGG